ATTTATTTATTTAGAGATGGAGTTTCGCTCTGTGACCAGGCTGGAGTGCAGTGGCATGATCTCAGCTCACTGCAACCTCTGACTCCCGAGTCCAAGCAATTCTCCTGCCTCAGCCTCCTGAGTAGCTGGGACTACAGGAGCATGCCACCATGCCCAGTTAATTTCTGTATTTGTAGTAGAGATGGGGTTTCACCATGTTGGCCAGGATGGTCTCGATCTCCTGACCTCATGATTCGCCCACCTCAGCCTCCAAAACTGCTGGGATAAGAGGCATGAGCTACTGTGGCCTAGGCAGGTCTTGAAATCCTGAGGCACAAGAGATCTGCCTGCCTTGGCCTTCCAATGTGCTGGGATTACAGGCATGAGCCACCAAGCCCAGCTTTAAAATACAATTATTGAAAGCCCCTGACTGCAGGGTGCAGTGGCTCAGGCCTGTAACCCCAGCACTTCGGGAGGCGAAGACAGTGGACTGCCTGAGGCCAGACTTTGAGACCAGCCTGAGCAACATAGTGAGACACTGTCTCTACAACAAATACAAAAATTAGTGGGGTGTGGTATTGCGTGGCTATGTACTCAGCTACTTGAGAGACTGAGGCAAGTGGATTGCTTGAGCCCAGGAGTTCAAGGTTATAGCAAACTATGATTAAACCACTGCACTCCAGCCTGGGCAACAAAGTGAGACCCTGTCTCTAAAAATAAATCAGTAATTTTAAAAAGAATGTACTTATTAGATAAGACAAGAAACAAACAATACTATTTTAACCCACAAAAAATAATACACATGAAAGAAAAAGATTAATAGAGACAGAAAATAATATAGTGGTTGGTAGGGTTTGGAGGGAAGAATGAATAGGGGTTATTTTTAAGTCTGTGTACAGACTTTCTGTCTAGGATGATAAAAAATTCTGGAGCTGATGGTTGTACAGCAAAGAAAATGCACTTAATGCCACTAGTATACATTTTAAAATAGTTAAAATGGTATATTTCACATTATATATTTTAACATAATAAAGAATTTTTTAAAGGATTAACATAAGAAACAGTTTTATATTTCTTCATTCTCAATAATTCAAAATTTCTACTTCTATAAAGAAGATATATCATTATATAAACTCATATTTCTTTCAACACTATGAATGAGCATGTTATATTACTTCAGTCAAAGAATATAGTTTGATTAGCCAAACATCTAAAATATGTCTGGAAATATGAGATTTTCATTTTAATACATAAAACTTTGAATTGTTTTGTTTCCAGAATCCACTTAACAATTAGAGGATACTCATCCAATCTGCAAAGACTCTTGACATTCTTCTTATTCCTTAGTTTCATCTTCATCGCCACATTAATTGATTTGGACTAATTCAACAATTTTTAACAACTCAGAAAACATCATGGAGTAAGAGTTCTCACAAAATATTCTGATACTACTTGATTAGAAGAATACATTTAAAATTCTGGACAAGAGCAGGTTTCCTTATATCATCTTCACTCGCTTAACTGAACAACTTAAAATAAGACTCTCCTTAAAGAAACTCATACGTCTTTAAACTTTGAAAAAATATACATATACCCCCTTCCCAACAGACACTTAAAATTAAAAACTTACAAAAGCAGCATGCTTTCCGCGAAGTCCTCTTGTACACTGTTGTCTCCATGGCTTCCAAATAATAAAGCCCAAAAGGTACAAAACAAACATAGATGTTTTTGCAAAGGTGCTGAAGAACGGTTTGTTGTACTGGGTAAAAACGTACTGCAGAGGAAAAAGTTACACAGACAACTTTGAGATGATCTTAAACCTTATTACTCATCTCCAAAATAAAGTCACTACATGATTTTTAACTCTTCAGAAGTTCACTTGGAAAGAAAAAGTCAAAGGGATTACAAAAATATTTTAGATTCATTTCTGAATACTGTATTTACCTTGCATACAAAAGGATATCACCAAACAAAGCAGCAACAACCTGCTAAAATAAGTTTGGTTTAACATTCATTGCAACCTACTATGAAACAGTGCCTATATTAGGAGCTAAAGAAAAATAAGACAGGGCCAGGCATGGTGGCTCACGCCAATAATCCCAGCACTTGGGGAGACCAAGACAGGCGGATTGCTTGAGCCCAGAATTTCAAGACCAGCCTGGGCAACATGACAAAACTCTGTCTCTACAACAAAATAGAAAAATTAGCCAGGCATGGTGGCATGCGCCTATAGTCCCAGCTACTTGGGAGGCTGAAGCAGGAGGATCCCTTGAGTTCACAAAGGTTGAGGCTGCAGTGAGCCATGATCAAGGCACTGCACTCCAGCCTGGGCAACAGAGCAAGACCCTATTTCATAAAGAAAAAAAAGAGAGAAATAAGGGAAGTTATCCTGCCCTTGGGGAGCTTAACATCTAATAGAGGAGACATATATATGAAGACAATAAGCATAATGTGCCAAGTAACAAGAGAGGGGTTCAGGATACCATGGGAGCACCAAAAGGAAACTGACAAATTTCAACATTATGGACGTTTCCCAAGGGAGACTGGTGTTTTCTGTTTGTTTGCTTTTAGTGTATCGTGAATATAAACTCACAATTTTTTATATCCTAAGAAAATTCCTAGTTATAGCCACTAAAAAGGCATAGAAAAACATGACAATCCAGGAGGAAAGTGAAACTCTAGGACGTAAATGGTGGTCCACGCCATTTGATACTAAAAGAAACAATGGCTCTGGCCAGGCACAGTGGCTCACACCTATAATCCCAGCACTTTGGGAAGCCAAGGTGGGTGGATCACTTGAAGTCAGGAGTTCAAGACCAGCCTGGCCAACATGGTGAAACCCAGTCTCTACTAAAAATACAAAAATTAGCTGGGCGTGGTGGCAGGTGCCTATAATCCCAGCTACTCGGAAGGCTGAGGCAGGAGAATTGCTTGAACCTGGGAGGCAGAGGTTGCAGTGAGCCAAGATCGCACCATTGCACTCCAGCCTAGGTGACAAGAGCAAAACTCCATCTCAAAAAAAAAAAAAAAAAAAAAAAAAAAGATTAATAAGGCCATATTAAAAAGACTTAAAGAATTCCAGCTAATAAATACAGAGGGAATAACTCAAAAAAAAAAAAAAATCACCATTTTGCAACCCCTAATGAAATACTTTATCTAGACAACTTAAACGTGGATATTCAACTATTACCTAAAAGGTCATGAGGAACTTTATAGTACTTAAATGGCATCATCTAAATTGAGACTTGCAGTCATTCATCTCATGCTGGAATGTTACAGGAAGTACTCAGTACCCCCAAAGTATTCTTTCCTGAAAACTAAACCCAAATCGACTTTATACCTAACTACCACTTTACAAGAAATAAAGAGAAAAATAACAAGTTAAATGATACCCCAAGGAAACAATCAGCTAAATCCAGAATGTGTGATACACCCAATAGGAAAAATGACCCAGTTTCTCCAACAAATTAATGATATGAAAAAAAAAAAAAAAGGAGGGAAGATACAGTTAAGGAATAAAGTGACTTAAAAGATATCACAAATGTAATGCATGATCTTTGTTTAGATCCTAACAAACTTAACGGGAAAAAAAAGTCCTTGACACCACTGCAGAAAACTGGACTGGAGAAAACTGAATAATGAACTGGATGTCAGATGATCTTAAGGAATTACAGTTAATTTTGTTAACTATGTTAATGGCATAGTGATTATGTTTAAGAAAATTAAAAGTCCTTTTCAGTTTCAAGTATATAGGAAAGAAATTGTGGCTGAAATGACATGTGACATATGCTTTAAAATATGCTTTAAAATGCTCCAGGAAAAACAGTTTTGAGCAGAGGTTGATAAGGTTGGCAAATTTGGTTAACTGCTAAAGGTAAGTAATGAACACAAGGAGATTCATTATAATATTCTACTTTGTATATGTTAGAAAATATCCATAATAAAAAGACTGATTTTATTTTTGAAATACACACTTTATCTCCAAAGTTTGCTTTTTCTTTTTCTTTTTTGAGAAGGAGTTTCACTTTTGTTGCCCAAGCTGGAGTGCAATGGTGTGATCTCGGCTCACTGCAACCTCTGCCTCCCAGTTCAAGCGATTCTCCTGCCTCAGCCTCCTGAGAAACGGGGATTACAGGCACCCACCACCACACCTAGCTAAATTTTGTATTTTTAGTAGAGACTGGGTTTTACCATGTTGACCAGGCTGGTCTCGAACTCCTGACCTCAGGTGATCCACCCACCTCATCCTCCCTAAGTGTTGGGATTACAGGCATGAGCCACCACACCCGGCCCTATCTCCAAAGTTTAATGAGCATATCTGGTTGAAGAAGTAGAGACATTACATATACTCTTGAATAATGAGATTATAAAATATCCTCTTACTAAAATATTTTACTTTAAAACAATAAAGATAAGTTGAGTTTTTTCCTCCAGTTTCATTAAAGTACAACTGACAAATACCAAATATATGTACTTTTTACAACATGGTGTTTTGATATATGTATACATTGTGAAATGATTACCACAAACAACAAATTTTTTATTTTCTACTTTGCTTAGATATGGTTAAATTAAAACTTAACCAGGTGCTATTTGGTCCTAAATTTTATTAACTGATAAATAAAAACAAACTATTTATTTTAAATGAAAATAAAATTTAAAAGATAGATTTAGTTCCCTGTCAATATCAAAGACATTTCTTTGAGGTAAAAGTACAAAATGTTCATCTAAAAGAAAGTTATAGAAGAGATTTAAAGCGAAAAATATATGGCCTATTAGATTCCAGAGACTAACTCCGAAAAGTATAAAAACTTACATACTTGGCCGGGTGTGGTGGCTCACACCTGTAATCCCAGCACTTTGGGAGGCCAAGGCGGGCAGATCACGAGGTCAGGAGTTCGAGACCAGTCTGACCAACATGGTGAAACCCTGTCTCTACTAAAAATACAAAAATTAGCCTGGCGTGGTGGGGCACGCCTGTAATCCCAGCTATTCAGGGGGTTGGGGCAGGAGAATCGCTTGAACCCGGGAAGCGGAGGTTGCAGTGAGCCGAGATCTCGCCATTGCACTCCAGCCTGGGCAACAGAGCAAGATTCCATCTCAAAAAAAAAAAACTTATATACTCATAGAATACAATGCCAATGTCAATATTTACTTAGCTACAATATGAGAAGACCTGAGTATTAAACTGCTTCTTTTGAAAGTTAAATTCATTTTATAAATGCCAGTTTCCTGCTGTATATTCGCCTTAAAATTGCAACATAGAAGTTGAAATGCAGACTTCTGAAAATAAAAGTTGCTTTTTATAGGGATCATTAACCAAGCAGAATAAAGTATACAAGTAGAAAGAAAAACTAGCTTGCAAATTCAAAATGCCACATTACTACCAATAGGTCATCAATAAAGATACAATTTAACTGAAGGAAATTGTAAAGATACAACTTAACTGAAGGAAAATTATGAGGTATACCAAGCACCTCATAATAAGGTTTGAGTCAGCAAGCACAAATGTGGATGCAACCACTCATGGGCGTAACAGTGACCTACACATGAAAACTCATTATTTTTACTCATTTGTCCAAAAGCACGCTGAACTTTCTAGTAAATGGTGATATTGTTTTGCATCCTGATAGTTATTTCACTAGAAAATTATATTCACAGAAAGAATTTGAATTTAGAAAAAAAGCCAAAAGTAACACTTTCAAATATAAGAAAATATGCATAGTCTCTCTAAGTAACCCTCCCTAAAAGATGCAAGAAAACTGTATGAAACAATAAAAAAGATCATCCTTTCAGTTTTAACTTCAAGTGGCAATCATTCGATATTTTTTAAAAATTCGATAGTATTTAAGATACTGCTTTGAGAAAGCAGGAGATTGTAATGGCTAGAGTTACTACAGGTTAACAGTAACATCGTGGCTGTAATGTAACATCATTCCTGGACCGAAGGTACGTACCGAAGTAAGTTCGGAGGAAGCAACCCATATCACATCAACAAGCAGCAGAATAACAATCCCAAGAGCCATTCGCCTGCGCTGAGTGAAACCACTGTTCTGGGAATTCATTCGGTTCATGATAAACACACACACCATTTGCAGTCTGTTTTTTTAGAAAATACAGATCACATTAGAGATGATTTTAGAAAAATAGCCATTAAAAATCAGAAAATTAGTATAACAGAAACATCTGACATGTGTTAGCTAATGTTCAGTGTGAAGGTTACATAGTGGATAAGCATGTGGAACCTACCTGGTCTTAAGAGCCTTTCTGAGATCCTCAAGAGCAATGCCGGAAAACTTGGCAGATCTCAGTCTGAAAGGTGAAGAACTCAGCACCCCTAAAAACAACCATGAAATTATGCTATGAAAACGTCAGTAACTCAAGGTAAGATTCATCACATCGTTTTTTACTCTTCACCTTCAAACTGAAAGCAAATCAAAGAAAAGGACCAAAATGTGTTAAACATACTTGCCACCTTTCTCAGTACTTTCATGGTATCCACTGTACGCTTCAGATTATCCTTAGAGAGACACGCGATACCCGGCGGGCAGCGAGGGGGAGTAATATACAATATACGGCACATTTAAGAATAGTTAGCTACTAGAAAACAGCTTCTCTGAGTTTCACAAACACAGAACTCCATTCACCTCTCCACCCAGAGGAATCCATCCCCGGGGACAGTGTCTAGACACTGTTTCTAAAAGTGTCTTTTCTGTCCCTGATCTCCTGGAGTGGAATTTGGTTATCCGAGAGTAAGTGATTTGTTGTGGATCTTGAAGGCACCTCTCCAATATCCTCAAGTGGTAAAAGAAAAGGATTCTCCACGCTCCTCCACCCACCTCTGTCAAAACATCCAGTCATTTCAAAAGAAACAGCTGGGAAAAGGAATCCTCCTGTTTTGGAGCGGGGAAGACAGTTAAGGCAGTGACGCCTCCCCGGGGAGCCGAGGCGAGGGCGCACGCACGGCTTCCTCAATTGCCAGGGGTGGGCGCAGGGCTGGGGCGCCCCTGTCAGCTCCCGGAGCGCTCCCTCCGCCCCTGGAGACCTTCACGGTTTCGGTCAAGGCGCTCCGGCTGCCACCAAGGGCAGGAGGTGGTGCTGTTGGTGGGCACTCCGTCCCGGTTTGGGCTCCGGTGATGTCGGGGCCCTTCCCTGCCTGCCTACCTGGCCTTCCTGCCCCGCGATGGCGTCGTGGCGGCACCATGAGCGG